GATGATAGCTGAAGGTATAACATTTCTTTTCCGCCCTCAGTCGGGCGGCCACATCTGACAGACTTCTCTGATTGTTTTCTGTTTTATGTCTGCCCATTTAATAAATGATTTTACGACCATACTCGCAAGACTTTTTGTCTATTTAACATCCTTTCAACGTGTTTTCTGCCCATCTTGTCACGACAGCTAATTTTGCAATATCTGTGAATCTGTCCTGATCTATMCTTACCTGAGAAGACTCTGCATCCTCATGGTCCCTGCTGCTGGATCTGCTAATGTCTCCTTCCTGACTTTGCCCCTCACTTCGAAGAGCCGGCTCTTGGAGCCGAAACGTTCACGACTGACCCATCACTACTGCCAATCAGATGAGAACTCAGTAAGAAACTGTGACATCATCACTACAACAGCCAATCAGATGCACTGTAAAAATGAAATGTTGGATTTACTTAACCATGTTATGTTACCTGGTTCCACTTAACTGATTTGAGTAAATTCAAAGCAATATACGAGTTTTTAGCCAAAGAACATGAGTATATTGCTTTGAATTTACTCAACTCAGTTAAGTGGAACCAGGTAACATAACATGGTTAAGTAAGTCCAACATTTCATTTTTAGAGTGCATTAACACAATCTATGACATCATTACCGTGACTGCCAATCAGATTAGAGCTCAGTAAGAAACACTGCGACATCATCACTGTAACATCCAGTCAAATGAGAGCTCAGTAAAAACAAAACATCTCCGGTCGGCCCACATTATGGGATAGCGTGAGCTGAGAAGGATCCTTTGGACCCGTCCTTTAAATCGGGCCAAAAGAATGGCACATTTGWCGACCACATCGGAGGAGTCTTCGTGTTTGGACAACCTCCGACGTGGTGCTGTGATGTAAGCGGCCGAGGAATTTGGCTTTCAGAAGACGCAGCCTCTGAATTTGCACATAGMCTACGACAGCCAATCAGGTGAGAGCTCAGTAATAAACAGGCGGCCGCGAATTACCAAGATCGGCCAGCCAATTGGTTCATTCATCTCAAACCCATGGTTTTCTACTTTAATTACTCCAAGTTTTTTTTTTCAGAAACATCAGAATCTTGGCTACAAGCTGGTAAAAAAAAAAACATTTCAATGCATACCCAAGACAGTTAAAACTACAAGCAGTTGAAGCTAAGTTAATGAAAGTGAAAAAATTAATTGATTTAAAAAATTTGGCAAGTCAGAGGTGTCAAAGTATAATTTGTGGTAAACAGGAGGCAGAATGT